ACCCAGGTTCTCTCTGGGCACCCAGTTCATCAGATTTTAGTGGACTCTCTTGGATTTTGAAACCAAGCAATTGCATCTGCTTTGGAGCCTTGTGTTCACAGGTTTCATATTGCTACAAGAGAGATACCATTCTCCATCAGATTTTGTAAAACTCCCTGTTTAGCTCTGTGTGTTGATGAATGATTAAAAAACTTACATTTTGCCAAATAATTTGCTATAAAGAAAGATATGTCCAACAAGTTATGCAATTACCATTATTAATCAGCTTGCGTCTTTACAAGATCAAGGGAATCTTATTTTACACTGGAATTTTTAGTTGATGAGCTGGATTCATGCAGTTTCTTTCCCTCCTCTTTAGAGAGGGATGGAGGGGAGTTAATTCTGCCAATGCTTCAAGAGACCAAATATCCCCTGTTTATTAATTAATAATATCCATCTGGATTATGTCAAATGATTCCCTCTGCATTTCCATGGATTTTTATCCAAGGAAAAAGCATTCTGAGGCCTGTTGTATCAATTTTGAAATCTTTGGAAGCCCGGCTGTTCTTTCCTTGTTTCTAGCACCTACTAGTTACAGGACGTCAGGAATGCAAGTGTAGGACAGATGATGGGAGGAGGCTGTGTTTGTGAAATCTTCTTTTGATGTGTGGGAACAACCAAAATAGGGTTCTTGAAAGCCACTACAAGCCAAAAAAAGTCCTCTGACACTGAACATCTCAAGAAGATGAAAACCTTCCTCCCATTTCCATTGTCCCTGGCCTGAGCTTTTGATCTGATGCAAGAAATGTGGTATGTGTCTGAAGTTTAGAAAGTTTATGCTGGCAAATAGAAAAGGGGGAGGTGGGTTGAGTAAGCTGGGACTGAGCTTTCAGGCACATAACACTAATGTCCCTGCTGAGGGCCCTGTGCGTGAGCGGGCCCCACAGTGAAGAGCCAGGCTTTGAGCCACGGGAGAAGAGCAAGCGCCAGATCCTGTACAGAGGTGAGCCCGGCGGCTCTGCGGGACTCGAAAGGCCCAGGGGTGAGTTTTGCAGGCAATAACCTCTGCCGCTGGCGCTGGCCTGCGAGCTCCTTGGCCAGTGCAGTGCATCATCCCTCCTGCGTTCCCTTCGCGTTCACATGCCGTCTCCTACGTTGGGCCCGTCTCCCGCTGCGGTGTTGGCAGGAGACGCGGCCCCATTTCAGTTCTTTCCAGCTTTCTGACCCAGTTCAGCTGCGTCTGAGAGGTGGGGTCTGGAAACCAGAGACAAGCCTTCATGCCGGTGGGACCTCTGTTGCCAGAGACTCCAGTTCAGCATGTCCATTTAGGCTCAGATTTGACTTTTTGCTTCCATACGTGCAAAAAGACAAAAACCCATGTGTTTTGTTGAGTTGAGGCCATCCTTCACCTTGTGCAATGCAGCGCGAACTGGGGAGGAAAGGCCTTCGTGTCTTCTGTAGGGATCTGCCCTCCTGACACTACAGGCAGCAACCACAAGCGCTGCCCTTCAGCTAGTTCTCTGTACCTGCTCTGGTTGGTTGTGGGACTAACATTACCCATGGCATCAAGACATATTTCATTTATATGGTAGCATTAGGATGTTTTCTGCCTCTGTTCTTCATGGAGGCATAACTTTTGCATTGGAAGTGGTAATAGCAGCAAAGGTGGACACTGCTTGCAGTGAGGGTTTCCAATTGAAACCACACGTTCTTCTTCACTTGGTGTTATCCCCCTCTCTACCTCAACCTTATTGACTAGAAAATACCAAGACTTTAATACCGAGACTTTAATACATTGCACATTTTGCTAATTTGCTTTCTGGCCGTGAGCCTCTCTGGTATCATTTTCCAGCAGTTTACTCAGAGGGCTAGAAGCTTTCTTTTTTTGTTTAATGAAAGTGGGAATTCTCCTCGAGTCCCTTGACTACGGCAATGGCAGCCTTAAGAAAAACAGAACGTGACAGAAAATAGATGAATGGCTCCAGTGCTATTGCAATAATGTGCAAGGACCCCGTTTGCGCTAGCTTATGAGAGGACACTCCTTGTTGAAAGAACAGTGTATAGTTTGAGATTTTGAATGTGACTAAATCCCACGTGCTTTTCCTTCTTTAGTTTGGCTCTCTGGATCTCACGGATGTGAGAGCTCTCTTCCTTCTACTTTATTTCTTTTGGGCACTTCTTCAGTCCTAATTATAAAACCTAGAATTTCTCAGCAATTTAAAGGCTGGAGACTTCCTGACCTCTATCATTTTGTGCCCAGGGAAAATAAACTTGTTACTATGGTTTGAGCCTTCATGACTGCTAAGTATATATAGTTGATTTATAAAAGAGCATACTGGATTATTCTGTGCATGCCTTTAAATCTTTTACAGCATTTATCAGCAGAGCGCTCATTTAAAACATGTTGTTTTAATGAAAAGGATACCGTTGCCACTGTTTTGTGTTGATTATGTGGTAACACATTTTTATTATCACCCATAAAAATGATTTGGAGCTGTTCCACTCCAGATGCAACCTTCGGCAGAGCTGTGCTAGTGCCGCTCGCGCCGCCTGGGAGGGCCTCGGACCCCTGCAGGTTGCTGGTCTCTGACCATTGCTGCTATTGGTTTAATATCACCTCTTCTCACAGCACTGCTGGGCTGCGGCAAAATACTGTCCAAGACAGCCCTTGTCGGTCCCTTCCTCGCAGCAGGAGCATCCTAACCCTGCCCTGGCTCTAGCCCCTCTAATTTGCCACCTCCAGGATTAGTTTTGCCTCTGTTGCTGAGTCCACTTTGGCAACATCCAGGTGTTTTGCTGGGGAAGTAAAAGGATAATATAATAGTATAAAGTGCTTCAGAAAAGGTCTTCCATCCACACTTGAGTCCCATGTCAATGGGAATTAAGCACGATTATGGTAAGGCATATGCTTAAGTGTTTGTTGAACATACATAGCATATTTCCTTGAAAGTCTGACAAATAAATCATTGGGTAGAAGCACAGAAGTGCAAGAGACAGACTGAACCCATTCCTTCCTTGCCTGGCGTTAGAGAAGCCTGTTGAATAAAAGCATTGTGACCTGATTCCTTTTTGCTTTCTTATTACTCAGAAAGCAAGACTCTGGATCCATGAATAAAGATCCTTGCAATAAAGGAAGAATTTTGCTTGTTTGCAACAGCTGAGGTTCAGTTCCCTTGCACTTAACCTAGCTCCCAGTTTAATTAGTTTCTGATTCACCCCTGTCAGGCCAGTGCATTCTGCAGGAAGTTCATCATTTCTGGCGCTGCTGCAATACTGGCTCTCACCATGCCTTGTAATAAATAAGTGATAAACCTTGTAATAATTGCGAGTTAAAAACAAACAAGCAGAGCCAAGTCACTCTCATTTATAATTGCAGTGTGACTTCATTATGTAAAGACAACACAGCATGTAAAAGCTGAAACTTCTAGGGATTTAGTGGAAAGTTTGAGCCGTATTCTCTTTTATTTCCCTTATCCCTAAATCAATATTTGCTTAGGTGGTTTCCAAACAGGAAGAGACAGTGCTGTAACAAACCACAGCAGTGCACTCCTCAGACAATTTTCTAAGCTTTGTGCTTAGAAAGCAGACTGCTGGAGATGCTGGATGCTTGGATCAAAACTCTTGTTCTGGAAACCTCAGCCCTGCTCCTGCCCGATGGGCATCCTGCGTCCACCCTAGGCAGGCAGCTTTGCCAGGGATCGATCCCGCTGCCAGGTGAGCGGCAGGGTTGCTGCTGCATCCCGTGCATGCCTAATGCAGGGGCTGCCAACCCTTTGGCTGCCCCACTGGGAAAGTGGGTGCTGCCCTTGGACTCTTGTTTAGCTTCTGTCTAGTGATTGGGGTGAAATCCATTTGCAGCAGAGCACGTGGGCTTGGCGCTCCAGGTCAGTGCTCCCAGTGGGTTTATAATTGAAGGGGTAGTTAGGCCTTTTCAAAAGAAATCTGTGGACTATTTTGTTATGCCACCCTTGCTTAGTGGCTGGGGAGGCAGGGGGATGAAGCATTTAGATTAAAATAGAAAAATTATTATTTTTTTAAATCTTAATTTTGTGAAAACTTTAATTAAAAGTGTTGATTATAAAGTGCAATGAATGTTCCCCTGGGCTTCACTTTAATGGAGTTTGTCAGTGGGCAGAGACCACCTGGGTCCTCCATCCCTCTACTTCTTGTGGGTGTTTAGGTTTTTTGCAGCCATGTTAAGGACTAACTTCCAGTTTCATATGGGCCAGCAGTGGCCAGGGGAGCACAGCTTGATGAACAGCGGTCTAAATCATAGAAGGAAAATGGGGTCATTTTGCCAAGGAGCTTATCTTGTAAATGGCCCAAATAGCTCAGGGACACACATTGGGATGTGGATTTATTTGAAGGTGGTGTGTTTACAAGGTATAGAAACAGTTGCAAGTTTTAATAATATCCTATTACTTCTAAGTAGAGCTCTTTGAGGAAATTGCCTACCTGTTTTTTATTCACTCCAAAACTAAAGCACTTCAGCTCTTTAAAAGCTCCATGTTCTCCATCTTCTTTTATTTGGTCAACATTTGTACTTTTACTTGCAACGAGGACTTTTCCTGAGGCACCTCAGCTTGCTACCCTGGGCATCCTACAGCCCTTCACCTTGTACCAGCTCTCAGAAATTTCTGACCTGATGACTCTGGATTTCAACACGCAACCTAGCAGTGAAATGCTGTGTCCCCTAACACCAGCTCTGGTCACTGGTTTTGTGTTTTTCACCAGGGAGACAATCCCATGTGAGGCTGAGTCTCTCTGCAAGCAGTGAAGCCCTCTCCAAGGAGGGCATGTGTGAGACCCTCTTGCAACTTAACACAGCAGCTTCCTACACTAATTACTGCCACTTTGCAGAAAACCAATAGAGCTTTAACACCAAAACCCTGCGGTCTGTGATGCAAAGTTATCCACAGCTCCTGCTGGCAAGGAGAGGAGTTTCAAGACCTCTCAGGATTGAGACCATGTATGAAACCATCCCACTGACCTTTTTTGCCTTCCCTGTGTCCCCTATCTAGATCCTTCTGCTCGAGGCTGCAGAGCGAAGCCCACCGTTGGAAAACAACCTGCCAATCACTGGGACGACGGCCACGTGGTATGACGATTTGCTACCAGATGCTTTTCCCCTGCTAAATCCCGGGACTGTCCTGAGGAAAACAGTGGGATCTGTTGGTAAGCATAACCTGCTCTTCACCAACTCGCCCACCCTACATACGTGATTCCTGTAGGGTATCTAAAAAGGAGGCCGTGTCAGTCTGCTGTAGTATTGGAAGCTGCAGGGGAGAGGGCTTGGAGGGAAATGCTGGCAGCTCCTTCCCTCTGCTCTGTAAAGGAGAAGAGGGTTAAGATTTTCGGATGGACAATTCCTCTCTTTTTTTGTGGGCACGTTTGCTGCCGTGTGTTTGACCCAGCAGGGAGCTGTCGATGGGAGCAGCCGCACTCGGGCTGCGTGGTGCTGCCTGATGAGTGCGGGGCAGGCAGTCTTGCTGGCATGAGTGGTTCCGTGTCTGTGCTTTGCTTTGCACCCGCGGCAGGGACACTATAGCTTTGTTTTTTGCTGCAAGATGGAATTGTGCTCGGCAGGAAGACCACACTGCGGAGAGGCATTTTGAGAGCTTTCATCCTCTGTTTTAGGGTCAGAATCAGCATTATTTAGCTCTAGAGCCAGGATTCCTTCAAACCAGGGGCTGTTCAGTATAAGGGTTTAGTGTTGTCTCGTGTCTCTCCCTCTCTGCCGAGCTGTGAAGGCAGAGGTGGTCGCACGCCAACACCCATGTGGACTCACGGGCAAGGAAGGAATTCAATCCTCTCCGATCCCACCTCGAACCATCCTTTTAGCTGCAGGGAGCTGGATGTGATTTCCTTGGGGCCCCTTCCCACTGCCCGTGCAGGAGCGAGGATCACCCCTTTACAAAGAGAGGGACTTTCAGCTTTTCTCTCCGCGTCTCTGCCCCTCCTCGAGTTAAGCGAAAGGCAGGCATGTTCCTGAAAGAAAGCAGCTAAACTCAGAGGCTAACATATTAAGCTCCATTTTGCCAGCCTTAACGGCCTGTTGCTAGCCTCGATTTCTGTTGGCACAAGCATCTACTGAAAGCTGAATTCTGGTCTCTGGAAAGTTAGATTTCTGTTAACCTCAGTAGGGCCACTATGCCTGCCTATGTGTTCCAGTGTACATATTTTAAGTCCAAAGACTCTGGATTTTGAGGCCTGAATATGTTGAAACATTCCTGAGGAAACTCCAGAGAGCCATTGGGATCACAGGGGGACAATTCATACTCACCTACTGAGCGCTGAATGCAGCATTTCCCCATCTGGGAGCGGTGTGGGGAGGTAGAGGACTGGGGTAAGGGTAATTCTTGGTTTTATTAGGACAAAAAACTTTCCCATGAATAGCAACATCAGTTGCACTCTGCGTTATATTTTTTAAATTTACCATAAACACAATGGGCTGTTTTATGATCCCTCTTGTGGCATGAAAAAAAAATACACTTATAAGAAAATCTCCCTCTGAGCCCACTTGGCTAGACAGATCCCCACGCATTGAATTTCCTTGACCTTGGCATTCTTATTTCAAGATCCCCACTCTCTGCTTCCAAAGCCCTGTCTGTCAGTTGCTTTGTTTGCTCCCAGAGCAGTTCTTTAGTTCTTTATCCTCTATAGGGCCTACTTTGCTTTTTTCTTCATTTTTTTTCTTTTTTTCTTTTTTTTTTTCTTTTTTTTTTTTTTTTCCGGTCAGAGTAGTTTATTATGGCAGCCCTTCACGACTGCAGCAGACTTGGAGCAACCAACATAGACCAGATGTCGTCCATGTTTATAATTTGACAGGATGCCACAACATGGAGGGAGGTTCGCTAACAATATGTTCTGCAAAGTATTTTCAGAACCACAGTGATGGCTGCCAGGAACTGAATTAAAGCGGTTTCCCCCAGTGTCCATTATATGCTCATTCTGCCTTCTCCATGTCATTTATTTGTGCTGTTGCAGTATCTCTGCACCTGCACTTCATTGTACTAAAGTCAATCCAGCAAAAGTACTGACTCTGTACCTTCCACTCGAAGTCCTTTACTCCTGGAGGCTTGGTACACGTGATAATCTCCTCTTGCTCAGCAAGGAGCGGGAAATGCCACTCACCCAGGCAGTGATGCAAAACAGAACAGATCTCCTGTAGCACTTGCATCAGGCTGACTCCATGGTCCAGTACCAGCACCCTCCACCCTTGCAGTAAATCCAGGGGGTAGCTAGTGATTGCCTCCAAAACCAGGTGATGTTGTCTGAGCTTTACGTGAGTCTGTCTTGTCAGCCAGAGCTCCAAGCTGTGCGCACAGCCGGCTGCATGCGTTACAGCCCTGCCTGTGTGCTACCAGGTATAGTCCTTGCTCACTGTTACCCTTTATTTTTCTAGCCTTGATTTATTTAACCTAGTGTGGAATAACAATTCTAGCGTAATAACTGGGAATCAGGCATGCACTGGACCGTTTCAGGTCAGGACAGTGTCTTTCAGCAATTAGAAGTAATCAGTTAAGTTGCTTATTGACATGTGATTGCCTGCTCAAGCCCCTACCCGAGCTCTGTGGGCTTCAAATGCTTGCTTTGCTAAGGAGCTGTGGGGATGTTTCATGGATCTGGGTCCACATTTGGCTTCCTTCCCTGCCCCCACCAGTTTCTATCTACAATTCAAAGTCAGCCAAAAAAACACACTGTGGATTTTGGTGAAATGTAGGGAATTTCATGCAGTTGGTTTAGGATGGTGGGGGACTGCCCATTTTGCATGATTTCAACACTGTGCTGCGACTTGTTGCTCAAAGCTGGCCCCAGGTTCACTTACAGAGATTGCAAACATCAGGAGATCTTTCAACAAGTGTGATATTAGAGTAGGTGGAAGTCAAACTTGAGTGTCCTGTGTGGTTTGGGGTTGTGGAAAGCTAAGCCTCTGTCCCTCGAATCCCCTTCCCCAGAGTTTTTTGTGAAATATTGCCTACTTTACCCTGCTTCTAGTTTTTAAGCCAAAGCAAATCCAAATCCTAGCTTGTGTGCCACCAAGTTTCTCAACTGGATGGGCTAAGGGCGTAATGTTGGTGCCTAACACAAGATGGTTGATATGGACTAGATGCTTTGAATGGTGGGAGTGTTTCTGGATGACCTTGCAGCTCTGGGTTGGCTGACACCTCTCCAGGCTGAAGTCCAGGAAAACTTGCTACCGTTTATTAGGGTAGTTATTTCTTCTGTGAGTGACAGGGCTGAATAGACAATCATTTAAAAGCAATCAGAGCTGTTGAGACAGCTGGACCGCTGGCCTTTCTGATCAGCTTGTTAATCAACAGGATACATTTTACTGAGTTTTAAGAAAATATGTATACACTCTGGCTGAGCCAATTGGCAGCAAGAGACCTAATTTTTCATATTTTTTTTTTTTTTTTTTTTTTTTTTTTTAAACCTGACCCTCTTAACTAGAGGCTAAAGGACACAGAGGTGCAGAGGAGCAGCTAATACCACAGGGTAAGTCAAAGTCAATGGTTTCTGCTATTTGCTATGTTGCTATGTCCAGTCCTGTGCATATGTCCCAAAAAGCAGAAGGGTCCTGTGGCCAGGAGTCCTCAGTGATTCGGAGCCTCACAGATACAGAGAGGCTGGGTTTCTTCTTTGGGTTTTATCTGATCATGGGCTGCTCTGGTTAGAGAGGTGAAATGCCAGCTTTATCATCTTTAAGACATTCAGTTCCCCCATCCCCAAAGGATGGAAAGCGCTGCCTGATGGAGAGGCAGTTCACTGGAGGACACGTGGCTAGAGCGAGCGGGACGTGTGCTGAGTGATGGGAGAAAACACCATTATTATCTTATTGGTATTGCCTGCCATGCACACTGAGAGCTGCTGGTGATATTCTGGGCATCGTTTTGCTAAGCTCCGTACAAACAGAGAATATCCTGCTCCTGTACAGAGAAAACCTTGGGGAAGGAAAGGGAACAGATGGTGTGTTGCAGGTTAGTGACAGGGCCAGGAAGAAAATCCAGGTCTCTGCACGTCTGATTTGAATACTCACCCTCTTTTTTTTTTTTTTTTTTTATTTTTCCCCATGGCTTTTTCTTTCATATTTTTGGAGGATAAATACTTGCCATGGGCTTAAGCTCTCTGAAAGCAATGCTACTGCAGTAGAGCTGATTTATGCTAGCTGAAGCTTTGGCCTATTCATTCCCCTCCCCCTTTTTCCCTGAATCCTTCCCTCTTTCTTCTCCCTTTTGCACTTGTCTCTTTTACGCTGGTAACACCATTTGTCACCAGTATGAGCATTTGCCTGACACATTACTCGGTGCTGCTTCTCCTAGTCTTTCCTTTAGCACTTTCCACCTTCAGGGAAGTAAGTGCCAGTTTCTTTAAAGCTCCACTGCAGCAGCATGATTGAGGATGCTAGCAGCAAATGATTGCTCTTGGTCTGCAGAAGTTCATAGGATTGAGTTATGAAGGTTGACCTGAAGGATTGAGGCTGATTTATACAAGCGAGGAAATGTTTTGACCCACTCAGCAGCACAGTGTGTTGTGCTTGTAAAACAGTGTTTCTGCTGTTCTTCCCTCTATGCTGGAAAGTATTTGCTGCAATGAAGTTTCAGGTGGGGGCTTTTTGGTAGGGGGAGAATTGCAATGTTTGCAATGCTGTGAACAAATGCTCTTGCTCTCTTAAATGGCCTCCTGATCACCTGCCTGAGCTTGCCAAGTACAGCATCCATTGTCAGGTGAGATCCATTAAAGAAGCCCCTCTATTCACAGAAAAGTCTGCAGTTTGTGTCCTGTGGGTAAGCAAATTGATCCAAATTAAAACCTTACCTTAATCCCTTGTTCAATGCTCAATTTAAATCAGATCTTTATTGATGACTGAATAAAAAAAAGTACAGGCGCACACTCCCACACAAAGCCTTTGAAAAATCTCGTTTCTTCAGTCTGTCCTGTTTCACCATGGATTAGAGATGGACAGATTTCATTTTTGTAAGAAAAAATAATTTGGCCATCTCTCCAGAATGGCAAAAAAAGAAGAGAGGAAGTGGCATCTTTCAAGGGGGTCTAATATTGGGGGATTGTTGCTTTGTTCTGAGAAATGCAAAGAGTTTGGGTGAATATCTGGGGGGACAAGGTTTTGTGCCCCAGGTGGGCTGTCCCACACCTAGAGTGGGAACTGGATCCAAATGTGGGAGGTGCAAATCCTGTGAGCCTTGGGTTTTGTTATGTAGCCCTGTTTCCTTTGGTACCAGCTGTGTAGGTGTTAGTTGGCCAGCATGTTTCCTTTTTTTCCTTCTCTCCCTCTATTCCCATCCATTCTTCTCCACCCCCTTCATGCAGCAGGTTCTCCTGGTACTGTTCTTGGAGGGTCCAGTACCTCTTCTGATACCAGGGAAGGGGAAGAGTTTATTGAAACTTAACTTGCACTCTGCTGGGTTATGGTCATACGTAATATACAGACTAAAACTTGAAATCTGAGTGCACTGAACTTTGGACTCAGACAGATCTTCCTCTTTGTAAGCTTTGTAGCTTGCATCTGCTACTGCTTTCAAATACTCAAAGCCCTTTGGTAGCCCAGAAACCAGGAACCTCTGACTCTCTTGGCTCTGACAGTTAATGCCTTTGTTGTAACCATTAACCGCTTAATCGGAGTAGACAGACTAACTCACCCACCTCTATAAGGTATTAAAGGCTTCACTGATGTTTGCACAGTATTTAAGTGTATCTTTCCAAAGCAGCTACTATTTTTGTGAGCCAAAGATGCACAGTGTTTTTCTGAAAAACACTATAAAATTGCCAAGTGTTGTTATTGTTTTGATAGCCTAAAGAAAACAACATTGAGATCTTATGTAGTGTCATCAGAAATAGTCACTTTCAGATTGCAAACGCTGCCTGCACCTTTTGTAGGCTTACTGGGGGTCTGAGTGGACTTGCCAAGAAGCATCCCGCTGGGCTGTAATTATTGTGTTACTGGTATTTCCAGATGGGTTTGCTCAGCACCCTATTCATTGATCTAAATTAGTAACATCTAGTTACTTCAAAAGTGTGGGTGCATTAATTTCAATTTGGAATGAAAAATGCTTGTGCACAGCATGTTACAGTTGTTAGATGAATGAAAACAGGAGAAAACAGGGAAACACCTTCGATGCAGAATCTCTGGGTGGTATGTATAGATCAGCCAGAGCAAGTGGGAGACAGGGTTTGATTTGCTTTTGCAAATATATTTTGTGTATTTTGATACATTGGGACTACCATGGAGCTGTGCACTAGCAAAGCAGTGCTTGAGGGACCAGCCAGATCCTGCCCAGAGCCATTCAGACTTTGGGAAGGTGACAGTTTAGCTAAACTGGGCTACTGGAGATACACATCCTGCTGACTTTTTGGGGTGGGCCTTGTTCGTGGGGACATGTGTGTTTCTTTAAAGATTGCAGGAAGAAGAGGAGAAGCAAGGTCCAGTCTGGAGCTTCCACCCTACATACCAGCCAGCTCTTGCCACCCTGTCTGTGCTGTCTGTGCAAAGCTGCATTTCCCCCCCTTGCATCTCTGAGCCCCTCTCCTCCAGTTTCTAGATTGCTAAAGACCTGAGCAGTGGCCTATCCTCCAACTAATTTCCTTTCTGAATGTTTTCAGGGCTGCCAGGGCAGGTTGGTCCTCCAGGCCCGGTCGGACCAACTGGTCTTCCAGGACCACCAGGGCCAAAAGGAGAGAAGGGACAACCCGGTGAGAGGGGCCCAGCAGGGCCACCAGGTAAGTCCTACCATGATAGGAGATATTTCACTTTATACAAATTATCTCTGACAACAGATCATAAAAGACTGGACACACAAGGTGTTGAGCATCTTCAGTTGGTATTGAATCCATTCCAGCGAGTCCCCTGGGCACTGAAATCAGCCAGCAGCTCTCAGAGCAGGCAACCACCTGCACGAGCAACGACAGTCCCTGGGATTTCCCGTGGAGCTGGAGAGAGCTTGTCCCAGAAAGCTGCAGAGCAGGATCATGTTTCCCCATCCTGCTCAGGAGCTGTAAAAAGCAGTCTCTGATCTGTCAGCCTTTGGAGAAGAGCGTTCCCTGTTTAACCCTCTTGCTGTGTGCCTGTTTTAACTCCCTTTTTTCTCCACCATTTGTATCAAGCTGTCAGATGCCAGGATGTTTTTGTATGATGCTTTTGTATGTTAAGGGAAAAGGTTATGAGGCCATTCTTTCAGAGTACACTCTATTCCTGAGCTAGGAGACTTTCTTCATCCCCAAGATGTTCCTAAATCTTTTGATGAAGGCGATACTCTACACAATAGGTGCCAGACCTGAGGGTCTGTGCTTTCTATGTGTCTAAAAGGCTGTACCTTGTAAATCTGAGCTTGGGAAAGATTTGAAACTTGGAGCGTGCCTTAAATGTGAGAGCGGCCCTGAATGCTTTTTGGCATTTTCTGGCAACCTGTCAATGGCTAAAGTCTGGCCAAGGATGTGTCTGCCTTTTGGTTTCTCCGTTTGCAATGAGAGCCTTCCAGCCCCATAGGAAGCGGAATCGGTCTGCTGCCGGACTGACTGAGTTTCCATTGTTCTTTCTGTGCTTTCCTGGCAGTAAGGTGACATACAGGTGTATGTGGAGGGGAAGAGAAAGAGTGGTGCTGGATTTCACGCCTTGCTGCCTTTAGTTTCTTGCTCAGCCTCAGGGAGGAGGGAGATTTTCAGGAATTAAGCTTCACAGCACCTTTGAGCCAAGTAAGGCTATCTGCTTTGCAGAGGAGGATGCTAAAGACAAATAATGGAAAATTGGCAAGCTGTTCCTATTTCCCCCACACCTCTAATTCCTACAATTACAGTTCAGGACAGAAATCCTTTGTCTTCTTACTGCCTTTTTACATGGTAGCATCATTAGCACATCTTCAAATGCACTAACACATCCTTTCCTGCCTCTGCACAGGGCTGTTGGGACCTCAAGGACCAAGAGGACTTCCAGGAGAAACCGGGATCCCAGGACCCCCAGGTCCTCCAGGGCCACCAGCCACCCCAAGCCTCCCTCTTACCTTCCAACAAGGGGTTCTCTACTCACTCCAGCCCACAGCTGAAAAAGAAAGTAAGTTTCCTCTTCGGTTCCCATTTTTTTCTGGTACATCGGCAGAGTGGGCAGGCACGGAGCAGCTCAGCTCTTCCTCCCACCTCCCTGCCAGGCTCTGCCAGGGCCCTGCCTTCCCTGGGAGCAGCTAGACGATCTGCCTCCGTTGTGTGGGTCTCTTGGAAGTTCCTGTTCAAGATGAGACACTTAAGACTTAGAAGCTAGAGGGGTTTACCTCTCCAAAATGAGGAACTAAGTCACTGCTCTTCTAAAACAATCAGTGAGAACAGGGTTTGGGGGATTTATGGTTGTTCCCTGTGCCTGGTTTTCTGGGTTCATCTTAGCTTTGAGGAGGCAACTTGATGTCCTTTAAGCTTCTATCATGAGTAGCTGCTGTGAAGAGGGGTCTCTAGTGAAATGACAGAGCTCGGATAGCATCACATGAGAGACAAGCGCGTAGAGAAATACAGCAGTCTGGCCGATTAGGTGCTGGTGCAACGCAACTGCACTGTTGAGAGACCTCTTGGTGCCGCTGTTGCAGTGTTACAGTGCTCAGGGTTGCTCGGAAATTACTAAGTACCAAAGGTTTGCAACTCTGAAATTATATAACGTAACAAGGACATTTGTTAAATGCGTCTCTTTTCCGCCCCCGCAGATGCATCCTCCACCTGCGTTTCTGGTGCATCAACATTATCCTACATGCACGCAAAACACAGAATTACAGACTCAAAAGCCCAGACCAAGACCATGATTTATCCCTTCCCTATAACTGGAGGGTCAGGGTTTCTCTGAGCCTATGGTGATTTAAAAACATATTTATTTGATTTGTGCTGTGCCTGGCAAGAAAAGGCTTTCTAGGAAAGGCACATCATGCACTTTTATCTGAGTGCTCTCAGATTCGGGCTTGATTCTTCTGGTCCAGTCTTGTGTAGCTGGCATGTAATAATGATAAAGCAGAGCTCAGCTGTATCTCCACTTGGCTTGTAAAATCCTGGAGCCCTAGCTCTGTCGGGTCTCCTGTCTCCACTCCCCCAGACTTCAGCTGTGCCTCTTCCCCAGCTCTTCTGCTCATGTCCAGCTTCAAAGCTCAGTTGTGTTAGTTACAGCCAAGGATTAGTAAGTCTCCCTGTGTCTGACAGTTTTCTAGAGCTCTCCTTTCCCTTCCACCCACTCCGCTCTCCAGACTCCTTTTCCTGAAAGTGAACAGATGTATTTTTAATTGGGGAAGAATTTTAACAGCTCTATTTCATATTCAGTTACTTAGAGCGTATGGGCAGGATGAAATTAATTGTGGTTCAATACTAAGATTTTCACAAAATGTAGATTGAGCTGCTGCATTCACGAGCCTTATAACAAGAAAGTTTTGCTTTACAGTCACCTCACTGCCTTACAGGATCACACCAAATGGTGCCATTCTGTATCCAGTCTTTTATTCCAAAGGATCCTTAAGGATGGTTTGGGTACTGCTTCTTGCCCTCTCCCTCCAATCACCCTTTAAATTAAACTCGTTCTTGCAAAGTAGTGGATAAATTAAAAAGTGTATAAAGGCATTGATTACATTACATTGATTACAGCTGATGTGTGAGAAGGGTGAACTCTGTGTTGTCCCAAAACAGAGAGTGAATAAATGAGTGGATAAATATCTGTATTAACGCTGCCAACACTGGGCAGCAACAGGCTCCCACGTGGATTTGAGGATGTGAGTAAATGGTGACTGTTACATCCTGGGGCAGCCCTGTACTTCTCCTCCATACCTGTGGTGGATTTCTTGATTTGCAGAAGGAGTAGCCCAAAACTTTATGGCAATTTTTCGTGTTTTAAAAATTTTTCTTAATACAAGTCTCACTTATCTATGTGGTCATGATAAAGTTACGGCAGTATCAAGACCATTTTCTTACCATTTTGCTTATGTGTTGGCTGATTTTGCCTACCACAGGTTGGTGGAAAGCTGATCCTCTACAACCAATAAAACTTAGCCTTGTAAATTCTGGGTAGATTGTTTTAGAATTTATTTATTTATTTTGAATGGAGCACATCTGAAAACTATAAACACAAGATTCCAGCTGCTGACAGCAGAGGGAAGCATATTCCTGGTAATGGGCATGTGCACCCACAGAGATGTGAGAAAGCTGTATCAGATTATTATTAGTAGTACAGTGTTTGGTTCCGCCTGAACATGGTTAATGCATGTGCCTTTATTAATCGCAACAAGTTCCTGTTGGCAATGTTTGTCAGCAGGCAGAAGCCAAAAATGGGGAGACAAATATTTTCTCACAGTTTCACTGTGCTGTGGTAAAGAAATTGGTCCCAGTTGTCTCCCTCCAGATCAGGTAGCAGAAAGAAATTAAGACAGGATTACTTCATTTCCATCCTGTCTCAACAAATCAAGCCTATAATGGGGGAATTTATCCCTTAGAAACATTAGATGTAGGCCAGAAGCTAAACTGCCATACCTCACTGCTGAGGCTGCTGCTACAAGGATCGCTTGCTTTCTCTGCCACTTAAAAATGAGTGGATTGGGTATGTGGTCTAGAGTCAGCTCAATCCTCCTTCTCGTGCTAAAGCTAAGACAATTTTTAGGGAAAAGAGAAAAAATGCAACTTTTACTCTGTTAAGGGCTGTGTTTTCTTATGTCTCAAAGATTTCAGTTTGCAAAGGACACATGAGATAACATTAACCTATTTTGCAGGGAGAGCAAGGGGAAACCGAGGCACAGCAGGCCTGCCTGTGTGCCCAGCATGTCATTGGTGAAAAAGAGCGTAGAACAGAGATTTGCCAAGTGACATCCCAGTGCCTGCTGCCTTGCGTAGCCCTTCCTGAGGAAGGGAGAAGAAAGCAGAGGAAGCGAAGGGGAAGGAGAGAAGGAAGGGAACGGCATTTGATTTAGAAAACCATACCCATTGCTTTCAAAGCCTGTGCCTCCGAGATGCCTTGCCACTCTGGCTGGGCCAGTTTCACTGCCTCGTTCAGGGCATTGCTGTGCTGTTTCAGGTTTCCCCTTTGCAGGATGTTTGTGCTCTCTTCCAGAGAACGTAGGTGCTCGTATCTGCCCAGGTCAGACTGGTTGTGCCCTTCCTCTTGGCTTGGTTAGGAGTTGGAAAGCTCCTGGAGCAACTTGTGTATCAAGGTCTTCTCAAATGAGGCAGACAGTCGTCTGCCTTCCGCTTTGGTATATCCAGAAGCACTGGCCGAGCAGAGCCTGGGTCAGTGCGGGAGATGGCTGAGAAGGGAAGATTCCTGCTACCATTTGTGCTGGAGCTATTTTGTGGCTGCAGTAACAACCTTTAGCTGCAGTGAGCCCCAGAATGTCCCCCTGTTTGTAAGGAGAAGGGAGTTTATAAGGAGGTATGAGTTCTTCCTGCTGCTTTATGGGAATACAGAGAGAGTCCCTTAAAAAAGTGAGGGCTGTGTTTTAACACACTTCAATCCCATTTCATTCACAGTATGTTTCATTCAGAGCTCATCCTGGAAAGAAACCTTGATCTGAGTGAGTTTTGCCTGGCCAGGCAGCTGAGGAAGGAGCCACTCTAGATTTCCTGCATGTCCATACTCCTGTGCTGCAGAGGCCAAATCAGGAGCTACTGAGCTCAAGGGCTGTCGGGCAGAGCTCTCTGCTGTGTCACAATTATGGAATCACCTTTCATAGATTACTTTGAGTCAAATGTCAGGATAGGTGGATTTGTGGGAGTAACTCTGTCATCATAATAATGTACCGTTTAGCTGGAATGTTTTGTAACCCAAATCTTTATCTCTGGCTTATCTCCGGCAGTAATTAAATCCCGGTTGTTTGCAGCCCATCCTCTCCCCCTCTCAGTGGATGTACATTTGATTTTGTTGACCACTTGTTCAAGAAAAAAGCTCTGCAATTGTTAATGCCTTCACTGCTGTTCGATGCTCATTTCCCGATTTCATCTTACTCCCAAGCCGTGATGGATTTTGACATGGTCAAATAAAACTCAAATTAATTGGATTACACACTTCACTTGGGTACCTTTCCTTTGAACATGAAAACAGTCTCAGTTGTTTTGTTTCAGTGAAGAAGTGAAGATGGATGGGGTTAGAAACAATAGTCAAAGAAATACCTTTGCATTCAGGCTTTAGGCACGAAATTTGGTTCTCGGAGGGATCTGGGTTAGATGTTGTGCTGTTCTGCTGCCAGGAAGGCATTGCAAAGATATACTGTCATCCTTGGCAGTTAAAGAGATTTCACAGTTTTCCCTAGGAACTGCTTTCAAACAACTTGCTTGAAAGTCCTCTCTATCATTGCCAACGCTCCAGAAGTTGAAAAAGCTTCATGTGTCTGCTAACATTTCTGGAGATTTCACCTTATGTCCTTTGGGCTGGACTCTGCAGAGTAAACAAACACCCTTCTGATCTTCCTGGTGTCACTTGGTATTTACATCAACATAGCAGTGAGACATTTGCAGTCTTTTACACCTGCAAAGGGTTCCCCTGAATTCTACTGTGATGAGTTAAAGGGATGGGTGAAAGGAAACATGAGTAAGTTTGAGGTCATGGGCAGGAGGAGATGGACATTATTCCTGCATGGGGGCCTCCAGCTATGGAAAATGTGGACTTTTCAGAGGTTTTACTATCCCAGTGACCAGGAGCCAACATCTTCATACAGGTTAAATGCAACAGGAATATGCGGTTAGTCCTATAGCACTGGTCAGGACAGGGGATTGCAAATCTTAGCAGCATCAGGACATGGGGGTTCCCTTCCTTGCTTTGTGACCTTGGTGTCTTGGTCAGTCGTGGAATTTTTTGCCCTAGGTTTTCACAACTGTCAAATAGCATTGTGGGATGCTTATATGAAAGATTCTGCCATACAAGTACCCCCCCAGACTACTAGTATGCTACAGGTCCATAGGGAATAGGGTTGTTGAATATGGTTTTGGAATTGGAAAAAATAATAAGGGTTGCTTTTTTTTTATATGTAGTTCTGTTTTTTCTATTCAGTCACCAGCTGAAGTGGTAAGCCTATTGGTTCAAGTATGAGGGAAGATGGGGGCAGCTACAGGCTGCTGATTTTTATTCTTAACAGGAGAGGACTGAGAACAATGTGCAAAAGCACTTTTTTTGCCTTTCCCCTCCCTGCTCCACTCCCATTTCCATCCGTTTCCCAGAAATCAGTGGACCTGCCTAAACTGGCCAGTTGAACACCTAAAATAATCCTAAATGGCAGGTGAGTTTCCTGAGTATGTGGAGGGGGCAGAGCACACCCTCTCTCCAGGCTTTCCTGCATCCTCAGACCTCAGGATATCTCCCACCAGCACCTCGATGGCGGGGTGAGCTTGCTGGGTTGGTGGGGATATGCTAAATGGGCTCAGCAGTTCACAGATGCCAGACAGGAGGGAGCTCCAGATCCATGTTTGATTTCTCAGGTAGCCAGAAGCCAGATGTGTCCTGGAGATGGAAAATCTTCAGTCAGTTATTGCTGTACAGTGCAGAGGTATTCTTAATTTGCTTTGGCATTCAAAGGTAGGATTATGTAGGTGTGCAGGAACACCAGTTTTTTGACAGAAAAGACAACTTTTCTGGGGTTATCAGAGGTGGGATGCAGGTCTGGGGGATGCAGCCTGTGCCCTTAGAGAGCAAAGGGCAATTGCTCCAAGAGCCCAAATTTTGCATCCCGAAGCACTGCCTGCCCTTGGCCAGCAACGGGCGCCAAAGGATTTTGGAGAGTCCTGCCTGCTGGGACTGGGCAGCTCTTGCTGCAGGGACACTAACTGCTCTGCTCTTTAATACAGATGGAGAACCCCAGCTGGCCTCCACCGTCATAGACACCATCATGGCTGGCCTGCCAGGACCACGGGGAGCCCCGGGGCCCGTTGGGCCACCAGGTAATAAACTCAGTTGAGCTGCAAACCTGTAATGATGGGGACGACGAGCAAAAGAGATTTCTGATGGAGCAAAAGAAATTTCTGATGGAGACTGGAGTGGTCTGTGGGATGCCTACAGGAAAAGTGAGTGGTCCTCATTGGAAGGGCAGTAGAGCAGTGGGTCCAGGAGTGGGAAGGGTGGCAAGAAGTAACCAGGTTTCTGATCTGTTGGTAGTGGCAGATTGGTTTACCTTTGGCAGGACACATTGTGAGAAGGGAGTAATTAAAGGCTGTGTTTTAGAATGGGTTGTCCAGTGAATTCCTTTGCGAGAGCAGTTGTTCTCACCACTGCTGTGATCCTGTCCTGTCACTGTAGAGCTCCACTGAGCAGGATCTGGCCAGCTGCTCTGCGATGTGTATGCGGATTTTGCAGACTTTGGAGCTGGTTTGAGCTATTCCAGATTTTCACCAGTATAACTGAAATCAGAATCTGGGATGAAAATTCAGTGGCAAGTCTTCTTTTTCTCTGTGCTGATGGGTGGCTTAAATGATAGTATTCCTGCAAACATCAGCACTTCCCTGTGTGATGCATATTTAGGAGTGAACTCCCATTAGTTGCAAAAAAGGCTTTTCCTTTCATTAGGAGGGCCTTTCATTTATCCTTCAATTCCTTTATTCTTTGACTTAAGCGTTTGTATGGTGCATTAATGATTGAGGCTGATTCAGCTGTACTTTGTGTATAATGTCCACATTGTTTCATCTCAAGGGTTGTGACAACTAAAGCAGAGAGGAGTATTGCTAAGTTCAGACTAAGCAAATATCCTGTCTCCCATTTGCAGGTATAATTTAACAGCTACTGTTGAGATATAATTATTTTTCTAAAAGAAATGAATCTGTTAAGTGACTGTGTAAAACAAGTTGACCTCTTTAGACAGTGTTTAACTCGTCCTGGAAGCAGGCTTTTCTGTGGTACAAACTTTAAAAGAATTTATTGCCACTGGAGTGAGCAAAGAACACGAGAGAGCTTTGCTTTGCCACAGTCAGCCTCTCATGCTGGCTATGTCCAAACCCCGTCTCTTTCATGTTCATCATCAACTTTCTGACAACACTAGAGAGACAGACCGTACGTAGCAGGCTTGTGGACTTCCCTTGCCCCCTGCGAGACTTTCAGAAACAGCAACTGTAGTTGTCTTGCTCTGATGTAGCTGTTTCACGGATCTAGTTTAAGTTTTCTCAAAAGTTGTCATTTTAAACAATGGAAATGCAGCATGTTACTGACATCCTTCCTGCCTATTTTCACTTTTTTTTCTTCCCAGAGCTCTAACATCTTCCCTAGGGCGTAGGGATGTATTATATCAGGATGTGGGTATCCAGTAATCCAGCGTGTGATGAAGTGCTTATGCTGTAGTCCTGTGATTGATGAACAGCTCTTACCCATTGAGAGACTAAGTAGAACAATGAAAGGAAGTGCATGCATTTGGAATTTAGGGTCCTTCCTTCTAAGTCTCCTTAAATTGTCTCAAATGATGATTCCCACCAGGGCCACCAGGCGCATCAGGACCCAAAGGGCCACCAGGACCTGTCGGAGTCCCTGGATCACAAGTAAGGCGCTTTAGTGCTTTGGGGCTGAGGGGCAGAGTCGGGGCTGAGGTGCAAAACATCTTCTCACTGCACAAAAAGAGACAGAGTAGTTCATAAGTAGTTCATAAGTTCCTCATGAAATTCTATGATTTTAATACCTTTTTTTCATTCTGAATTGCGTTGAGAGGTTGAAATGGTTGCACTTTCCAGATTTTCCCTTAATCGTAACAACACATCTTGCTGTTGCTGTGTCAAAACATTTCATTGTGGCCTGAGTTGACGCAAAGGATTTGACAATGGGCTTTACTAACACAGTGATAAAATAATACTGTGTTTCCCATGGAACACATAAAAAGAACAAAAATGCATCAATGGGAATTCACCAATTCACCAAAGTGAATTTGTTAAGCCTAGCTTTTGAGAAATAGCACTTTCTATTCAAGAAAAATATCACAAATTCCCATCAGTTTGATTATTTATCGATACAAAAATTGTGGAGGGGGAAGGTAATAATGGAGTGTGATAAACTCACTCAAAAGAATTTATGATTGGAGAAGGGCAAAACGCTCACATGGATGGAAAAAGCTGGTTAAATGGAAAGAAGTGAAGTCATGATGAATAGTGAACTGCCAAACTACTCAAAACTGTGGTTGGCTGATACAAAGGGCCTCCAGTTTTGGGAAGAGTATTACTTAATGTGGAGGTAAACCAGTAACATCAAATATTTCAAAGGAATCTAACATGACTAAAGAGATAAAAGTGACTGAGGAGTACAGAGAGAGAGAAACGTTAAGTGACTTAGCAGAGGGATGTAACTTAGATCCTGATAAGAGGAGGTTTGGAATTGCTAGAAATTAGAGAAAGGAGATTTTTACTGCGTATTTATTAATCAGTTTGAAGAAGCAATGGACAGAAGGTTAGTGAAAGTTTGCAGTGTAGCAGAATCATTTCAATTAGTGAATGCTCTGGAGAACGATGAGAAACTCCAGATAGATATGAACACAGTGGGAAATTTGGCAGCAAAATGACAGATGCAGTTTAACGTGATTAAATACAAGGTAATTCACAATTCATAAATAGGTTCTGTAGTGGAGCCTGGCTTTTTCACATGCAGCACACATTATAAATCTTTTTTTTTTTTTTACAACAGATTTGTGGAATTCGGTGTTCTTGAGTATCCCCATATAATCACGCACTGAAAGTCACTGTTGAGAGCTCTCAAGAGCAAAGGGTGCTTATGGACACTTAAGCTTTGTTCGTGCTGCATGTTTGACATGGGGCCAAGTCTGGTTGGTGCCCTACCTCGTTTGGCAGCCCTAGTTAACCTCCTAAATCAGGCCTGAGTTTCTGAATCTTTTGTGGGCCCAGGGGAGACGTAGCTATGCTGGAGGCCAGGTCACTCTGCAGCTTGGTGGTGAGCTGGTGGGGCCGACTGTAGGCAAGGAGCAACACGTTAATGGTGAGCATTGCTGCCTCCCAGCTGAAACTAGGAGAGTGCTCCTCCTTTAGACCCTTAAAACACTAATGCCCAATCTTGTTGGGCCACTTAACCAGACGTTGAGGCTCCTCGCAGCTATGCCTCGAAAGCCCATTTCTCTGGCTCTGAGAGGTGGGGGTTTTGGGGGGCTGTTGTTAAACAGCTTGGCTTAAATCACCAGCGGTCTGGAGTGGAGCAGTAGTCTCACTTGCTGCATTTTCCAAGGCGACGTGCAAGTCACTTGAGGTGGAAAAAAGCATCTTGCATATGGTCGTGGGGAGTTGGGGAGCTGACATACTGAATATAAACAACAATATTGTTCTCTCCCTGTCTGGTTTATAGCTGTGGCTTCGCTGGGTGGATAAGTTAAGAATTTGGATTGATTTCTGCAAAGCAGTTCAATTAGTAGAAATCTGGAGACTATGCCCTTCTTATCCGTTGATGACTGCTTTATAGATTTATTCAACCCAGGGAGCAAAATTATTAGCAGAGATTGGGCTTAATTTGAAAATTGTTTATTAGGGTGAGTGAATAGCTTCAAAATAATTTCCACTGCACAATCCAATTAATTTTCAGGTATGTATGCTTACTTATGCCACCCACTGAGGCAATTATGAAGAGGGGGAAAGTAGTGGGGATTTTTAAGCTAACCATACTATCTGTATATTAATTTCTTCTTGGTAACTGAGAACAAGAACTATCCTGTCATACTGACCCCCTAAAAAATGTTACATCAGTAGCCTGCAGTGCATTAAAAGACCCAAAGAGAGGGATATGCAGAAACTATAGGCCTCAGGATATCTGCAAACAGAGCTTCCATTGTTGTTGCTTGAGGGTAAAAGAGAATCCAGCCCAATTGCTTAATGGGTGTATGAGGTTTTCAGGATCTGAGGATCGTTGGGAAATGTATTCACTACACCTACACAAAGGATGCACAGTAGAAATTAATTCCTTCTTGTTCTGCATCTCTTCTAGGGCTTACCAGGCTCTCCAGGACAACCTGGGCCAAAAGGCTCCAAAGGAGACCGAGGAGAGAGAGTAAGGTTTTACATACACAGAGAGATTCCCAGCAACATCTGTGGTGATGCTTCAGAAATTATATACAACATAGGTCTTTCAAATTCTGTGGGACTACAGCCATGAACAATTTTACATGTAGAGTTTTTAGGTCTTCTGCAAGAACCAAGATGATGGTTTACTGTACACATTAAGGGTTGAATTCCTTGCAAAGTCTGGTGCTACCTTAAAGAGATTCAGGTAGCAAATACATGGTATATAAAGGCTTGTGGAGACCAACTTTCTTCTGCCAACCAAAACTCTTTAGCGTGGGGTATTTTGGGTGGTCTAACTGAACTCTTTCTTCTGTGGCAATAAGGCAGTAAAAGCTCATCAGACTTTTCCTGAACCAAAGCCATTCCCTAGGTCAAATGATGTTCTTAATATGTTTAGAATATTGAAATGATGTTCTTAATATGTTTAGAATATTGAAATGATGTTCTTAATATGTTTATGTGCTATACCTCAGTCCTTGATGGGTTGTCAAGTGCTAATAACTAAACATAGATAGAAGGGCTGTTTGAATGTTATTTCCAAACTGGTGAAGTTTAGGAAATACCAGAGAAAAATCTAACAAGGATATAAATGTGTCAGATTCCCAGTCCAGCATTCAAGGACCAGGAAGGGTTTCAAAGTGGCATTTGGGCCTTCTGTTCAGCTTACTCTCCAAAAGGTCATGGTCTTTGAGAGACACTAGGAGCACAAAATTATTTGAGAATGTAGTACATGGTGGAGGATCATTCAGTAATTAGATCTGTAAAATGTAGAAGTGGGCACAGATGGACTATGACTAAGAACCTAGTGTGGAGCAGAGTCAAAAAAAGGAAGAAAGATAAGGAGAAAAATACTGGTTGGTACCTCTAAAATGATGGACATCTGCAATGGTGGCTGCAAGGACACAGCCTTGGGCCACAGCTGTAGGAAACAAGTTCCCTTTTCTTCCAAGTGCCACTTTCACCGAAGCATAGATGGAGGTGGATGTGGAGGTCACCACTTGTAAATGGGTGGCTGTAGATGACGTGCTTCCCCCATATGACAGCATCTCCTCTTCTTCATTTCTGCTCACTCTTCCAATCCAAAAGACAGAGGGATGTCTGAAAGAGCTAAGAAAGACAAATGCAAATTGGTTAACTCCAATTTGATGACTTCCCAAATTCATGAGAATAACCAGCAACAGACTTAAACTACGTTCCTCTGTCCAGACAGTGTGCAAGGAGAGCAAGTCCAGGTGGCTTGTTTTGTTCCCTCCTGAGGCACTTCGCATCAAGGAGCAGTGACTATCTGAGGATGGAGCACATACGCTTTTAAAAAGCTCCGTTTTATTTTAGTATCTTTGCAAATTGTTTTGGGTGCTTGGTCCCTGTTCTTACGTAAGAAATCACTTGCAGCTCCCTGAAAGACAGAGACCATTTAAAATGACTGTTAGTAATTTTTTAATAACAGTTTCCTTGTGCAGATCAGCCACTTTGGGCATGTATTGGCTTTACTAATAGATTATAGACTGAAATATTTCTGGGATTAGAATTTAAGATTCTCAGAGAGAGCAAAACCTTAACTGATGAGATTTCAGCACAGGTTACCGCCTACAGCTCATCACCGTTAAATGTTAATTTTCAGTTTTAAAAAAAAAAAAAAAAAAGGCATGGTATATGGCAAAGTGTCAAGCTTCCATCCAGGAAACTGATAAGAGCTCTTCCTCAATGATTCATTTAACCTTTTGCTTTAATTTGTGGTTGACTATATTGCTAAGACTATTTTGAAACAAAAGCTTTGTTGCACTGTGTCCATTCAGTACAGACAAATCCTTTAGACTTTGATTTTGTTCCTTCCTTGCTAGATATTTAGAATTGTAACTCTCCTTCTAGGTTTGGGAGAAATGAGATTTTCAAATATCAGAATGTCTTGCTAAATAGAAAAAATAAATTCTATTTCCTGTCCTTCCTCTGTTGGTGTGGAAAGTGAAGCCGATTGCTTTTTCTGGCAGAATTTCTGTAGGATGTTCTGTGTGCTTTTTGTCTTTTGTGAGTGTGGATTTGAATGCTGGTTTTGACAACTACATGCTGCAATTTTGGGTTTGGTGGATACAAATTAGAGCTAGCTTTACACAGAGCGGAGGAGCTGTGCAGCTGCAAAGAAAAGCAGAGGAGGGTTTACAGTATCTATTGAGATTGGAGAAAATGTTATTATACATTCTTCCCGCTTAATCTCAGAAAGAACAGATGTAGAAGAGACCTGAAGCAGTCTGAGCGCATCCCCTGGATGGCACATCTATATGTGTGCTGCTCACGATCAGCCTCTGTTCATCTTATTCTTAAACAGTGCCAGTGAGGGATACAGCACATCATCTCAAGGCAGTCTTTGGAGGTACAGCTAGTGAGGGCCTGGGATAAAAGATATTTCTAACATCCAGCCTAAATATCCTTTGATCCCTTTTAAGCTGATAACATCCTTTCCTGTTCCCCCTGGACATAGGGAACAGTCTGCTTATGTATTTTGAGTGCATTGTTATGTCTCCTCTTGTGATTTGCCGCTTGCCTGTGCTTTTTTCACAGGCCTCACTCCCTCCAGTGCAGAATCCAAGTATTTCCCTTTGAAGATGCTCAGAGCACAAATTGGGCCTTCCTCCTAGCGCTCTTCGTGTCGATACGGGCCTTTGTCTAGTGCTGGCTAGCTGCTCACCGAGCACTGCGCAGCTCTCCATCGTAATGTTTTTCAGATGCCCAAGGCCCACTGGTTTTTTATACAAAGCAGCAGTTTGATGGACACAATAACAAAGCAGTTCTCCCTTTCTGGCAAATACTACAAAAAGCTGCCGCCAGCTAGGTAGTTTTTTGGGGGAAAAAAGGATGGGTTTGTTTCTGTGTATGTCTAGGGGAGAAGAGCCAGGTTAAGTATGTGGCTGTTTCATCAATGGATTTCTAAAGATGCTTTTAAATTTCGCTGCTTCTTCCCCAGTTCCTGCTTTTTCATGAAATAATCTATAACTGTTCTTCTGGTCAGGGATTCTGCCCTGCCCCAGCGTGCTCCAGGGTGGGAAACGAACGCTGCAGAGGAAAACGGGGGGGGAAAAGATGCTCAGTTTGATGGCATTTCATTCTGCCCCAAACCAACACATACCATTTCAAAATGTTTCTGTTTAAAACAACAACAAAAAAACAACCCAAAAAACCCCACTGAGAACAATGTGAAAATTAGCACAGCAGGAAAAAGAAACAAACCAACCAAAATATTGTATGTGTGTTTTGATCAGTAGCTGTTGGGGTTAACACAGGGATGTGTGTGTGGAGCAGGAGGCAGATTAAATCAGTGCTCTGTGGGAGTCCTGGGCTCTGTTTGCTGTCTGGGGCAGCATCAGCCCATCAGCTTTACGAGAGAGAAGAATGCAGTATCTTTGTAAGAAACAATCTCCAGCCAAATTCCTCCCTGGTATAATGTAACTGACTGCTGTAAAGTTCAAAAAATTGCTAATCGTCTTACTGAGAGGGTACTGAGCTGAGTAGCTCTGTATTGAACCAAACTTCTCCAAAGTGTGATGGGATTTGGAGCTGATACTTGACAGAAAACCATGACCCGCTTTTGCTGTCTCTAAGTGATAATGTCAAGGGAAAGGACTTTTTTTTCTTATTATCCCAAGTGTAAGGTTTTTCATTAAGCCATCTTAATTCCACTAGTAAAAATTACACTATGTTCTTGTCAAATGGAAGCATATCTCCTAATGACACTTACTTTATTTCCAACAGGGGCAAGCAGGTCTGACTGGAGAGAGGGGCATTAAGGGATTTCCTGTAAGTGATGTACTTGCGGGTGTGTGCAAGACTCAGATGGGTTTGGTGCCTGCCTGGCACCATACATACCACCTAGCTGGACTGCGGCTGGTTCAGCCAGCTCTCTCAGATGCAATGCTTAGGTCAACTGTCTCCAGCTTAGACATTTGTTCAATAGGCAACCTCACCTTAACGTATTCCTCTGCAAATGAAACATAGTCTTCCCGCATGTTAAGCATAGTGCTGAAACGCCGTGATCAGGAAGGCGTCATGCCAGCAGAGATGTGCTTTGCTTGCAGATCCCCTCTAGCCAGACCTTGGCAGACAGAAGCCCTCTCCCTGCCCCGTGAGGTTCCTGGCACTAGCTGAGCCCACTGTTAAACAACCCAAAGTACCTCAGCTGCTCTCAACTCCCTCTTGCACCTTGGTCTGCCAAGCTGAGCTGGAAAGCCTTTAATGACATTAAGAGATGTCGCCAAATGACTTCTTGGCATTACCTGAACAGATGCACACAGGTGATGTCTGCACTGGCACATGTGGCTAGGGTGCAAACAACCCGGTGGAGATGAAGGTTGGCTAAAAGCGAGATAGTGGAGCAAGTTGGGTTTTTTTTTGGCTGGCAGCATCCAGAGAGGGTCTAGATCCTGTGGGAGGGTTCTCTTCTCTCTTCCTTAATTCCATCTCATCGTTTCGTACCATTCACACAACCTTTTCTTCAGTCCTGCCTCCCATACCCACCCCTGCCTTGCAAGTATCTCAGGGATGTCCAGCAAGTTGGAGGAGCCCAGGCATTTCCACCCTATTTTATTCACCAGTTTGTTAGGCCTTTCCCTTGTTTTATGCTTGTGGTTTAATCTCTCCATGTCATCTGTTCATCGAGAAATGCATGAACTTCTTGGTTAGAGGGGAACATCAGACCAATGTTCACAGCACATAGGGAACTTTGTTCAAGAAAAGCTTAATGAGCATCTTCAGAGGCAGAAAGTGATGTGACTAATTAATGAAAGCAGAATGGAGGATTTTTTTGTGTTCTAAATCAAAGATGAAGATGTGCATGTTTGGGGGAGGGGAACAGTATCTTTATCTCAGTGTGAGATAAAAGCATTGCTCATTGAGATCTTCATGAGATGTATGTAGTCCTGTTGTGGGCCCAGTTCATGGCAGCCAGCCCTTCCTGCACCTTGGCCACTCCTGGCAAAGTTCATCAGTGTTAGAAATGGTGATGACCTCCTGGGAAGCTGGTGGGAGCCAGGACAGAGCTCACGAGAGCACTTTGGCCCTTGGTGTGAAGTGCCAGAGAGTCAGTTTGTTTTCTGCTGGTGAAATGCTTCTGCCTTTAATTTGTTCTTTTGGAGGGGAGGGAAGGGATGCAAGTGATCCTGGACAGAGTCCTCAGTCACATGAAAACAAATTTCTGTTTCTTGTCTGTTTTAGGGTGAACCAGGCAAGAAGGGTGAGGAAGGTGACAAGGGTGCTGATGTAAGCATGTATTTCCACTGTTGTTTTACTTTCCTTTTTGTCTCTTTACTGTGCTTCAACCATATTCCCTTTGGCAGGCTGCTTTGTGGAGGGCAAGGGTCCTGTCCACAGTTAAAAGTGCAGGGCGAGAGATGATTTGAACCTTGGGTTTGATCTTAATACATGCTAGATATCCTGGTCTTTGAGGTTTCCTTGGCCACGTTGTCAGCTGCCCTTCTCACCATGCTCTCTGAACACCTCCTCAGTCCCCAGTGGGTGTTCTGCCACACAGAACTTCTACAAGGTAGGGAATTACTCCCCCCCGTCCCTCCCACAAGCTCAGGGACAGACTCCCAGAAGAGATCAAACTGCATGTGCAGAGAGAGAGCTGGAGTTCTCACATCTCAGCTCTCCCACCCTAAAGTACTTCCCAATGTCCATCTGTCCCTTCAAGCCCATATCTAAGGCAATGAGGGGGCAACAAACTACAGCTTGAGTGTACGTGAAAGTATGTGGCCAGGCTTCAGGCAGCACGAGGCCCAGCTAGGAGCTCTCTGACAGGCAGCGTGAAGCCCGTCAGGATGGGCTTGCATGCCCCTGTTCCAGTTTCTAAGGGAGCAACAAGATGGTGCTAGCTACACGTCCCCGTTTCCTGGTGTACCAACAAAGAGAAAAGCCAGGTAACTCACTGATGTTCAGAGTACATGTCAGATGAGAGCAAAACCTGTTCTCCAGGTAGTTCAGCATAGTTGTTAACATAAGCTTCCCATTATAAAGGTTTGACAGGAATATACACCCTGGGTTTGGCCCACTGCAGAAGCAGGAACCAAACTGAAAGGCTTGGTTTTGGGTCAGAGGCTCTGCAAACATGGGGTATAACTGAGGAGTTTTTCTTTAAATATGGATTTCTCCTGCATTCCTACTTTACTCTTGCTGCTTATCTCCCCTTTTACATCTTTTCTTTTTTAAACATTCACACTGCTTAGTTTGGCATTATGGAGGCAACATTATGAGCAAGAAGCCTATTCTGCAATATATACCAATGTTAGTTTTCTTTTCCTTCTTGCAGGGGGAAGGTGTTCAACAACTTCGAGAAGCTCTGAAGATTTTAGCTGAGAGGGTATTAATTCTTGAGCACATGATAGGAATTCATGGTAAGCGTCGCTAAGGTTTTCTTTTCTAGGCAACTGGGGGCTCTGTTCAGGCAGCTGCTTGATGGTTAAACATCCTCCCAGCCTCCTAAACTCTCTGTCTAGTATCTATTTAAGCCGTGTTTTCAAAACTAGGTACCCAACGTTACTTAAAGGATGCTTAGAACTGTTGAGGATCTAGAGCTTCCACCAACTGCACTATAGTTACTCTGGCTTTACAGTAGCAGGTGAAATGACCCCCACAATAATTTTTATTACAATTCAGAAAGCCAAGTCACGAGCAGCAGCTCAAGCCATGTGGCACAGATCATCTACCAGCTTCCCAGGGAGCTGCTTGTTCAAGTCTTTAGGCCAGATCATTTAATCCTGTTAATAGTATCTTCCAAGTGACTTTAACACCACTGAGGCCCTTGCCTTGTGTAGCACTATATTTTACAGAGAAAGCCCAAACAGTGCTACACGTTACCCTGAAAACCAGTGATCCCTGAACGTCTTGTGATTATAACTTACATAAAACCTATTTTCACAATCAGATTTAAAGAAAGTGTCATGTGTTCTTTGTTCAGATAGATTTAAGTTTTCTGTTGAGGCTATTTGCCGTCACTGGTACAGTGTGTGGCATCATCCCTTAATGAGTGTTTTCTTCCCTTAACCAGAGTATGGGCTTGTGCAATCGTCACAGATCAGACTTCTCCCTTTGGGGTACTTGAGGATCAATACTCTTACAGCTGCCAAAAGTTGCTGTGCCAATTTCTCCCCTTTCGGAAACACAGTAGAGGCAAAATGTTGTTTAGATCTATGATCCCAGCCTGTAAGAAGCAAGCCTGTTCCTTGGCTCCGAGATGACGATTTTTTTAAATCAACTCCCATAGCACTTTTCTTTCTTATTTTCTCCTTGACATATGGCACCTCATTCCTGGCCTCACTTGTAAAGCAAGCTGCTCACACCTTCCTTTAGATTGACATCCACTTTTATTATGAAGTGGCCTTTGGATATTGATTTAGCCTATGAAAATGCTAAATAGTTAAAATGTCCAGCAGTTCCTAAGCAAGTGACTTAAAGTGCGTCTATTACTATGCAGTAAGGCAGCGTGCTTCGACAGCCCACAAGCTCCTTCTGGAGCCAGCACAGTGCTAAAATGAAAATGCTGCTCAGCACTTCAAAGCCGGAACAGTGTGTGTGTGGTGCTCCGTTATATGGCTGAACTGGCTTGGGTCTCAGCACTGCTCTTCTGTTCAATGGACATGTGTTTTTTAGAGGCCCAAAGTACTATTTCCAGAAGCAATAGGCAGCAACAGCTTAAGCTTTTCGGGAAATCATGAATCACGAACCCATGATTTAACCACAGTCACCCTGACCTTACCTCTGCATTCATCCTAGTTTGCTTCATATTTTCATTGGATTTTATACACCAAGGGCAGGAAGAGATGTTTTTATGCTTCTTTGCTTTGAGATGGTGGAGATACCGGGAAGACACCCACTAGATTACCTAGGCAGCAATCCATGCCCAGCCGGTATGTTCTCCGGGCAAGAGGGGAAGGGAAACCCAGTCCATAGCACAGTGCAGTGTCTTTACAGGACCCAGGGCCTGGCCCTCCGTTACCTTTTACTTTGTACCTTCACTTATACTAGTATAAAGCAAAGTGTCAGCTCTTCAGGAAGCTTAGGCACCGTATAGGCAGTGTATAGACACTGGGGCTTGGACTGGGGGATTCATGCAACTTTGCCCCTAGTTTGCTGCCTAGTTTATCTATTTTATACATGGTCTGTTTGGCAATACAGCAGCAACAAGGCATGTGCTGCTGTTATTTTGAAACGGTCATTTTGGCAAACCATTTTTACTGACATAAATGTATTTTCTGCTATTGCCTGGGATAGAGGCGAGTTATTTATATCCATGTATACTTCTATACTAGTGTAACTGCATCAGCAAAAATGGATGGGGTTTAATTGTACAGTGTAGTTAAGGCCATATTTAAACACCTATATTATATGACTTTATATAAATAGTTCTTTTTTATCCAATAACAGTATAGATAATTTTATTTTTACTCTGTGCTTTTGAGATAGTTCCATTCTTTAACTTAAGACATATTTTAGGCCCTAGAAAAATACTGTTTAGAAAGAGAACTTGGAAAGTAAGGCGTGTTTTCCTTGTGCGATTATGTTCATCCCTTTATGTGTATATGGTTAAAAAAAAAACAACCACACAACAGAAAAAGACATAAAATAAAACGGAATATCCTTGAGCACAGACCTCCCTGCACTGAAAGGCACCACACAGGTTTAAATCACCCAGCACCAACTATCTGGTCGTGTTCCCACCGTAGGTGTTAAGGATTTTACCACAGGTTCCTGGGCAGCCCGACTCAGCCCAGCTTTAAAGACCCACGCAGAAATGCCAATCGCATGCTCTCGTTTTCCCAAGAAACTTCACAATCAGTGTGGTTTCCAAAACCACAGCCACCCAAGCAACAAGGCAAAACATACCAGCAAACAAACCTATTCTCTGCAGTGGGAGGCCAGTTTGAGATTATCTGGCCTAGCAAACTGCAGAGAGCAGCCCAGCAGGACACACGAAAGCCCAAATTGTTTAGCAGCGTTTACTTCCAGCGAACACAGCACAAATCCTCCGGCAGCCAAACACTCACTTGAAACAGAAACGCTGCCTCGTGGGATCAAACCAAGGCTGGGTGTCTGGCTTGTGAGGTTGGGCTCTTGGCAGGGAAACAAGCAAACGTCCATCTCTGAAGGCAAAAGGAAGAAGCTGGGGCATTGCAAATGATGAGGCAGCATCAAGTTATCAGCATCTGTTGCTGACTACTGGGAATATGGAAGAGTGGCCGTAGTCAAATGTATATTTAGCTTTGTAGGGCAGGACGCTGTAGGAAGAGAAGGTATGTGTTACCATGAGGCATGCTGGGAGAACGGACAGCTAATATTTATTCCCAGCTTTATTGCTAATTTGGCTGTAGCCTAGGGTGGATCGAGCCTTTCGTTCAATCTTTTCAAAATGTCCTCCTTTACAAGGAGTGAAATGGTACTTAAACCCCCAGGAGCATCACTTCCCAGTGACCACTTGGCCTCATCCTTCAATAACAGGAGTCTGTGGGCAATGCCGAGTAGCAGCTATAGCCCAAGCAAAATCATAATCAATAAAAGAACAGCGCTTTATAAATGGAATTACAAAAGAGAACAGGACCTGCTGGGCCACGTGCAGTACGAGTACTTACCCAAAGAGTTTAGACAGAGCCGAGGGAAAAGACCTAATATAGGAGTAGTGTGATGGCAGCAAACACGTTGCTCCACAATTGCTTGCTGGATGGAAAGACAACAGGAAGGACAACACTTCTTCCCGAAGAGGTATCATTCAGAAGGGCCCATTTACTCTTTCCTTAGCCTCCCCTTTTAAATAGAGCTCTCCCGTGACTTTCTTTCCTTACAGACTCTTTATCTTCCATTGAGCCAGGCTCTGGACAAGATGTGATCCCGGGCTCCCCTCTGCGAACCAGCATCAAGATCAAACGTGGAGGACCCCAGCAGCCGCAGGCCTACCAGATCCTCTCTTCACTGCTGGATGACAGTGAAGCCAAAAGGAGAAGCAATCGGATGAAGTAGGAGCATCTGTGTGTTCTCTGTGCCTGTTCCCCAGTTAAAGATACAGTATCCCAGTGCTTAATTGCAGAGTGCAAATGAAGTGGGTAAGAGGCTGCAGTGTTGGCAACTGGGTTTTCTTACCTGGCCAATACTATGCCCTTATTGCGGGGAATGTCTTATCCATAGCTCAGAGAGGGTCTTACAAACATTTTTCTTGATTTTGTTGTTTTGCCTTTGGAATACCAGATGGCAGGTGTCCTCAGAAGCTGTCTACAGAAATGATACCTCCTGACTCTGTGTCTCAAAAGTTTAATCCTCCCCTTGTTTCCTCACTGCCCTTGAAAGTTACTCAGTTAAAGCACTGCTTAACCGGCTGAGACAATCAATCCCATCTAGACTCAAAGCCAAGCCCTAGTCTTGTCCATTGGTATAGTTGGTGGCATCTGCTTTTATTTCATGTGGTGGTGTCATGCTGACTTCCGGGTGAAGATACCATTTCTGTAGGCCATTAAAGCATGACCTGCAAGGATTTCTTTTAAGCAAAGAACAAATTGGAAAATTCAAAGAACATCGAAAAATGTTACTCTGAAAATTTAGGTTACTCTTTGGACTTTAGCATCAAAATCTTGGCTTTTCATGTTGCTAATTGCATGTGAGTGGCATTATTTCTGTTATGGTTGGCTATGCAAGGACTTTTGATGCAAATGTTCATGGCAACATTGACTTTCTATCTATCTTCAGAGAGATTAGGCTGTTTTTGTGAAAATATAGAGCAATTTGTATGAGATATGATGGAATTGTGCAAGAATTTTCCCATATTGTGTTCAGCCCGTGCATACATCCAGAGATAATTAGTTTAAGTAGTAGCAATAACTGTTCACAGAAAAGGATATTTTACAATAGTTTCTTAATCCTACATCAATAACGAAAAATTTTCACACTGTTTTGTTTTTATCTTGTGAGTAAATCCTTGCCATTTGAATGTGGAGACAATGTAGTAGCAAGCCACAGCCTAAGGAATTAGAGCGTTGTCAAGAGCTGGGACTGGGAGTTAAATACAAAGTAATTTTACTTTTTGCAATAACTTGTTATTTTGGGGGAAGTCCCAGCTTCCAGGGTTAAGAAGTTGAACCTGCCCTTCAGTGACAAAAGAATCACTACACCTGCTGTGCAAGCCAAATTGGACAAGTTCATGTCATTCATGTAGACAGTGATTTTTGTTAGAAAGGGTGAGACTAATCAACAGAACCTATGGTACTATTTTTTAATTTTTTTTTTAATTCCCAAACACACCTCCCACCCACCCCGCCCCCATTCTGACAGCTTTCAAATTCAGCCCAGGATGAAAGTAAGCAAATTGAGTTTGTGTTTGTCATTTTATGGCATAAGTCAGGTAAATAGTGACATTCTATCTGATTCCTAGTGCAAGATACAGCTATCTGAAAAAGGCAAACTGTACTGCTACAGTATTTCTGTCGAAAGCTGTTGCAAAGACCAACAGTATGGTCCATGTATTCAGCCACCCTTATCACTCTAAGTGATCTTCTTAAGGCAAAACCAGAAACGTGGTACACTGGAAATGAGGCTTAAAATGAAGGAGCTCTGCCAACCCAACATTAGCCACACATTAAATTAACTTTCCATATACGTTGTAAACATGGTAGACATCAGAACATCCAAATATTTCATCTGAAGAGCATTATATTTTCAGAAATGAACAGGTTACAGGCTGCTTCACGATTCACTGAATCGTGACTGAATTCACTATATGTCTTCATTTGGCCCTGTTCTTTAGAAATCCAACCATCCGTCCCAAAACAGGTAAAATGGTGTAAGTTGATGCTGAGCAAGCACCAGAAACTTGTCCTCATACAGAAGCTTTTTACTGCCCTACAGCTAAATAACAAACAGCCTTGGTTCAGCTGGCTTGGAGGCTGCAGTAAATGCATTTACTTGCCCGGCTTTTGAAACCTCGCGCTGCTTGGCTAATGCCAGTGGTGGAGCTCATTCAGCAGTCAACCCACGTAGTTCAGGTTGCACTTCCGTACGCTCAAGTTTTCCTTTGGACATTTCAAAGAAACAAGCCCAAAGTGTTACAACAGTCTGGGGAGTTGAAGGCAAGGTACTATCAGGTGCTCTCTTTCTTTAAGACTCCAACATTTGAAGTGAATGCAGAGTTTTGCCAAGAGCTGATGCTTCGGGCTCCAGCGTTCCTTTGCCTGCCTGTACTCTGAATTACAGCTGGAGTGTGATATAGTCAGAAGACAAGAAAACAAGTAAAACTGCCCAAGTCAAGCAGGTTACTGACCTGAAGCAGCCATCCTGTATTCATAACCCTTCTGGGAGAATGAGATAAAGTCTCTTGAATGCCTCTTACTTTCAAATCCAGCACTAACTCTAAATCCAGTGCTAACTCTAATGACAGTAAGTATATAAATGATGCTGAATTAAATCAGTGTCTTAAAGAAGGCTGGCAACCAGCTCTCAGCCTAAAACCAGTCACAAATACAAACAGCTCAGCTTTTCAACATCTAGCGAGTGACTGAAGTGCTGAACAGCAGCCCATGTCCCTCCACTCGCTACTGTGAGGGCAATAGCTCTGTTGGTGGACAGCTAAGCACGGTGCAGCCACTGATACATTCTTGGAGAATAATCTTTCCATTTAAGAAATTAAATGCACAACAAAAAGAGGTTTGTCCATTTACAGGCTGATTACCGTGTAGGAATTGGGAAGTACTTGATTACCTCTTTGTTGAATCGGGACCAAATTGGTCGTGATCACATGGAATCACACGACATAGCTGGTGGCTTCCAGGAGATAACCCCTTACGCCTACCAGTAGGTGTTGGAAAGTCAGGCCCTGAAGACTGAGGAGAAATCCCAGTTCAGTCTAAACGCGTCCGCTGGGCAGGTTGGTGCTAACTATAGTTGCTTGCCACATTCAAAAAGTGTCCTCATGGCAGTTTCAGGAAATAAACTAAACCAAAGCAATCTTTAAAAAGGGAAACACCAAAATTTGGTTTCGCTGGTCTTGTAGCTATGGGGTTGAATTTGGGGAAGAGGGAGTACAATGGGGCCATTTTCACTTCCCTGACGTTTTGGAGCCTTCACACTGAATTGAAAGAGAAATTTTTCTTCCTCCAAGTTTGTCTTCCTGAATTCAAAGCTATTGCATTAGCTTGACGAGTGCTCTGTTCAAGTCATTCATACTGACTAGGATTTTGAATTTTAAATTGTTTAAAACAAATTACTGGCAAGATGAAAGGAAATTTAATGGAAGTTGTTTGCAATGAATCCTGCCAAGTCAATTGTCAAAAGGTTTGGGTTGCAACCATTTTAATTATTGACTTTTCCAGATTTCTGTATGAGCTATGTAATTTTTTTCTCCCCACACTTCTTGCTTTATTTAGCTACATCTCTCTCTTACGTGGTACTGTATCTTTAATTTGGGTGACAGTAGGATTATACCAAATGGACTTTCTCTCTCAGCTGGGGTTTCATTCCTCTCTACTTACAAAAGGGTTGGACCACACTGTTGTGCAGTCCCAGTTTAATTATGTTTTAAAGGTGAACACAGCCTCACATGCTGACATTAATGATATTCATGACTAAGCAAACCACTCCAACCACATTTTCCATCTTAGGCAGGATACTAAGGTTCATTTTAGCCAGGGCATATAATGCATCTTGCCATGTCTATGTAACTTAGAGAGTGGGTTTATTTTGAATGCGTGCTCATTTAGAAATATATTTTAATTGAAATGTTTAGTGCTTTATCTTACATGCATACTGTGCAATACCATAGTGTGTTCTTTTCCTTTTTTTCCCTAAGGCTTTTTTGAAATTCTTAATGTTTCTTTGAGGTCCAATGTGTTTTTGACTTGGATCGGTTCTGGTAGTAGTAACACATTTTCCTTGCCTTGAGCTAACCAGAAGCAGCAGCAGCACATTGCACAACCAAAAATCTTTGCAATTCATGCACCCTCATGTTCACCAGCAATCTGGTACTCCTGGGAGGCGGAGAATGCTTCTCTCCAGAGTATCTAATTTGCACTTACCGTAAAGAATTGATAGCAACCAGGGTAATAGGAATAAACTAGAGAGAAGAGCCCTCACCTGCTCCCACCAAGCTCCACCGTAATTTTGCCATCAACTTTCGAAGGAACAGGCCATAAAAATCAGATCCAGGTCTTCAGCTAGCATGGACTGGTGCCGCTTTCAGTGGAGCAGAGCATATGGCTCGCAAGCGGCTTTCTGAGAGTTTGGCTCTGGGATTGGGGTTCGCGCCCAGTCTCTGCAATGAACTATTTTAATGTAGGAACCTGACCACTGTGACAAAGGCTTCTAAAAGACAATCAGCTTCTGGAATTACTTCTCGATACAATTTATTGGAAATCCATTCCCCTCCACATTTACAGCTTCTGTCTTATTCGAGATTACATTCCATTCTGGTGTTTGGTGGTATAGGGGTTTAAACTACTCACAGTTTCTGTGATTGCGTTGAAACCAAGCAATTCAAAGGTGCTATAATTGTTCACAAAGCACATTCCCATCCACAGAAGGAAATGTTACCTTTTTCACTAGTTATTTTACACAGTATTTTTTTATTTATATCAGTGTGTTTCGTATGTGTGCAAATGGTCCCGGCTTCTCTCATTGTAATAAGCTTTACAACCATTTGGTCTTTTATAGGGCAGCCATACGCAATATCTTGCAATCGTGTAATTTCTTAACTTAGAGCAAGAATAAATCTCATCTGACACGATGAACTCATTTATGGCAGGCTCTAATGTTTTTTGTAAACACAACCTGTTTGTTCCACCTCTTGCATGGTTACTTACCTGTTTTCATATTGCTATGTTATTGTTCAAAATATCTATTTCTCTTTATTTGCTATGGGTTTTGTTACTGTATATGGAATGTTTTGTATTCAGCATTTTCTTACAGAGCAGAGTGGGAACAGTATTCAAGAACCCACAAATACCAAAGACCTTTCATGTAATGCACTGAGAAATAAACAT